GCATACCTAGTGGACGAGATCCTCAAGGTCAGGACAAAGGGGAGAGGCAAACAGCTCCTCGTCAAGTGGACGGGCTATTCGCAGCCGACATGGGAACCCCTCAGGAATTTCTTACACACAGACGCTCTAGCTAGGTACGAGGAAGTTCACGGGCGAGTCAGGGACTGACAACTCCCCATGAAGAAGGGGAGGAGGGGGGTATTGTAACGGGCTGGGCCCGGTGCGAGCCTCGGCGACTCTCGGCCAATACCAAGACCCCTGATGAGGCTATTCCCACTCGCCCCACAGCACACCGAACCTTCTAGCAACGCGCTCAGACCAGCGCGCCGACGAGGATAAGTATGCTTGCGAGCTACCAGAGTCTGTCGTCTCTCCTTTTCTTCTCCAAGTTCAGTGTACTCGTAGAGTCGTCATCAGCTAGTTGCAATATACTGCCTGAGACCGTTACAATAATATTCCGCCGGGTCGCCTCCTTTGCTTTTCCCTTGGCGATCTTCAGGAGTTCGTTTTCCGCTGTCGTTAGGATCTAGACGATTGAGATAGAGGTTCTAGCCTTCTGGACAACTTTCATGGCGTTATACGCTTCACGGATATATCGCTGTCCTGATTACTAGCGTGGATTCTTCAGCGTCAATACGGCTGCTTTGTTGCTGGTAGCGAGGACGATCCTGCGGTACTGGACCTCCTGCAATAATCTGAACGCATGCCCAACCGCTGCATGTTCTGCTGAGTATAGGTTCTTTTCCGTCTCAATACCCAATGTCAAGTTGAAGGTTTCGTCCTTTGGGCCACCAGAGGTTGACCGTGGGATACGGACAACCCCTCCCATCCCTACTTTGTTGTTCCGCCCGGAGCTGCTCAAGGCGATCCGCACTGCCTAGTCGGTCTCCATTTGCGCCGTTGCTGTTTCGTCGATGTTGGTGTCGACTCGCCCCTCCCAAGGCCCTAATATAAAGGGAGCGATGGTCTTAAGGCTTTCCAACGGAATATCCTTGAGTATAGCCGCTACCTGGTAAAGCGGCGATCGGTATAATCTCCGGAACTTTCGCATTCGGGAAGCGGCATTGCGGACAGGGTTAGTCTCCGGTAGGGTGTGGATGCCCGTCCACATCTTGATCGCCCTTTTCCAGAATCTGTCTTGAGCCGTAGGGATATGCGCTTCTGCTTCGGTTATGCTCGTGGCTACGGTGCTGAATATACCTACAATCGCCTATGCCCCAACCGTCTGGACCCTGTTAACGGCCGGCGCAGCCTTCCAGTTGCGTTTATGTCACAAATGAACCAACGAGAGCCAACAGCGGCGGCTTACTTGCAGAAGCCAGTGGGAACGTAGGACGTTCCGAGCCAATCACTTAGGACCAATCGGAACGAGTCCTAGAGGTGCTCCAGAGAGCTCTCAGAAGCATGAGAGAGCACCAGTGCAAGGCCAATCAGAGGACGCTCTAAGAGGCTCTCGAGAGCACCATAGAGCATTGGCTCTAGGTGGCTCTAGAGAGCACGAGAGAGCAACAAAATGCATCTAGTATATAGTCACTCGTTCTGGAGGACTCTGGGAGTTCTTCAGTAAGGAACTCAAGTGCAAGATTGTCAGTACCTTTGGACATTGCTTGTTGTGAACCCTTTGGCTTCACCGAACCTCACCCCGTTGCCAAAGCTATAACCTTCAGGAGCCCCTTTCAGAAGTTGGGGCTTGAGATTCGTCACAAGAACCGACTCCATGGCATCGTAGTAGCGCATCTATGACGTGACATATGTGAATCCATCCTGGTTGGCAGCTTCGGCAGCGGTCGGGTTTGTGAGAAGCGGGAGGACAAGAGAGACGCCTGCCATAACAATGGACGCGTACGGAAGGTCCTTGACGGCTGTTGAACTGAACTGGCTCCTTGGCACCTGGATTCAGGTGCTGGGCACTGTTGCCCAATGCAGTAAGCGTGGAAGACTCGTCACCCACCCAAAAGCAGGGTCTGGCGAGGGTCCCGAAGCCCTCGGTTCTTTCAAGCAACACACACACATGACGCATGGTTCAGACAGTGAATTCAAGCTTCATCTTGTGCCTCAATTGATGCAGTGTCACCTGGTTGGTCTATGCCTATTCGAGCCTGTAACTGTTGCTGTCCAACAACGGCAGCCTTGACAAAATCTTCTGCCCACTCCACAACACCGGCGACATTTGCTACAACGTCTTGCAGGACAATCTCATGTCCTAGCAGCGTCGTGCTGATCTGTCTTTGTTTCATATGCTGTAGGCCGAGCTCCGTAATCCTCTTTAGCTTCTCTCGGCGTACAACCGGGTCATGAGGAATATGATTTGTGGCCTGGCCGTCCGGTGCCGGTAGTGTCTAGGTCTGGCTATATTGCTTTACGTCAATATTCAGGAAAAAAACTACGTCGGACGGAGGACTTACCCCTCGCAAGCGCCCTAGATAAGAGATCCTCATACGCAGCGATGCGTCCGTGCTCTTCATACCGAAGAGCATCATATGCTCTATTCCAGAGGAAACCGCCCGCCAATTCCTCTTTTTTGTCTGCCGTTTCGCCACATACCGCTGTTTGGGGTATCCCCAGAGTATTGTCGCCATTGTTTGTGAGCGGCGTATGCAATGCTGCGTTCGAAGGTATTGGCGGAACTGTCGGTGGAAGGAGGGTTGAGGCATCTACAGTCGACGGTTAGGGCGGGAGGAGCTGTCGTTGTCAATGGGGCAGCATGCTGGGGACAGAGACCGGATTTCCCCAAGCTTGTCAGCAAGAAGAGGGAAAGTCATCGGTGCTCAGTACCTTGTGAAGATTCCGCTGAAGAGGCAATCGCTCTCTCCTGGGGAGAGGTATCCTGTGTCTTGGATTTCGCTGGTTTTCGTCCGCAAAATCCGAGTCGTTCCAACCACCTTTTTAAGCGCCGGCCATGGCCTCCAGTGAGTGCCGAATTACCTTCAAAGGGCAGACTTCGCTGCTGCTGCCAGAATGGTCGTGCGAGGATGTCCTGGTTGCACTTTTTGGGCGTTGAGGGGCTTGTGTCGGACGAAGCCGCCTTATTGGCTGCATTCAATGGACCTCAGTGGATGACTGGTGCCAGCACTGCAACCCCTCTTTCTTATACAGTACCTACTGTACTTAGTCCACTCCCATGCCCATCAACAGCATGGTCAATCAAGAACTTAAGCACCTTTAAATTCAATCCACTGCTTTGACTCGGAATAGCTTCTTCCAGCGCATATCTCAGCGGTCACCGCTCTGCAGGTTTCAACAGTTTGAACGGGAGCATGACTGACCCATGCACAAGCCAATAGAATCAGGTCGCTGCCGCTCCCTTACATCAACGTGGCATTTCCCTCAGACGTCTTCCAGTGAAGGAATAGTAGAAGAAGGGGAAATGGATAAAGATGGATTCAGATCTGGCCCTGACCATAAGAACCAAGTCAGCGAAGTACTAGCGGGGTGCCCGGACGAGGACCCACAGCGCCAAGAAAAAATGGCCTATGAACCGTGCGCTGAGATTCAGTGACACGTCTGGGGCTACGTGTAGTCACTGTAATCCGTACACGTCGTCGAACAGCCACGCTGTCTTCACCTTCCGCGCCGTCAGCGACCTCAATGCTTCCGATACCCAACCATACCACTTCCACGTGCTCCTACGTAACCTACAATGCCACCTGTGACACGAAACCCCTCTCAACATATAGTGGCGTTGCGGAGAAACAAGTAGGGCACTTCTTCATGTTCAATGCTAGTGCTGTAGTGGAATGCAGAGCAAGACGACGGTGCAAATGTCATGGTCCGATGATAACGTATGATGAAAGATGGCGGCAGAGGTTAAAGGCCTGGCCAACCGTGCATATGTGCATGACATGGACAACGTCGGCGAGGTTGCCAGGCCTTTGTGTATGACTCACAACAAGTGCCACTAATAACCAAAGGTTAAGAGGTATGCAAACAAGAACCAGATTACAAAGTACCTCAGTGTAGTGAATTCGCGCAGCTCCAACAGACAGTGTTTCATCTACTCGACGCCCTCGGGCCGGTGCCGTTCCCCGGCAGCGTGGAGCAAAACCCGGACTTCTCGGCCGGCTTGGCCGGAGGTGCAAAATCTCGGGCGCTGCACGACTGCGGTTGCTGACTCAGCTGGTTCGGCCCCACACTTGCCCGGTGTTTTGCCGGGACGAGATCCCGTTCGCGTACCCGGTTCACGTCCGGCTCCGTAACGACTCCAAACGGCGCCGGCGACGGAGGCCGGAAGGCGTCGCCCATTCTGCTTCGTTCACACCCATCGCAGGACACTCCCGCACATTCGCGAAAGCGATGCATTTTCAGCGCCAGGATCCCGTCCCCTGTTCGTGGGGCCGGTCGGGGCTGTGGCCGACGATGCGAACCAACTGCATCCGACCCTCGAGGCTCGGTGCTGGGCTGGCTCGCTCATGCTGTCGTGGTCTCCCCCTCCTCTCCCCCTCCCTCCAGACCCCAGAATCCCCTTCCGCTCTGCTTTCTCCTCGTTCTTCCTCCTCCTTAACATACTCCTCGGCTCACCATGACGGTACAGCAACAGTCGCGCATCTCCGAGGCTGACGAGGAGAGCGTGAATGCACTCCTCGAGGACTACTTGAACAGTTCTATAGAGGAGGAGGGCAACCAGCAGCCCTTCGTTGCTCCGGGCACGCAAGCAGAGCGCGATAGAGTATGGACTGCCTGGACCGAGTATGTCTTCTGCCCCTTTTTCCCTTGGCTTCCCCGACATTACGCCAAGGACAATGTGCTGATGTGTTACTAATCTTCTCATTTTCTAAAGTTTCTGTGGACTTACCAAAAAAAAGCATGGTGTAATTGACAGCTACGGTGCTCCGGAGAGGTAAGTGGCCCACCATCGAGCCCGAAACTGGTGCTAACTGAGTGAAAGCCGTCGTGTTGTCGACCCCTGCCGCTTCTGGGTGGACTTCGCTCGGGAGCCGTCAGCCCTAAGGCTTCAGGCACCAGTCAAGGCCTTTCTCCACACATATGTGGAAAACTCCGTCAAGGAACGTGTCGTGTTAGGGCCGGAGGAGCGCGCCATGGTCCGCACGCTCAACTCCGCTTACAGTGTCATTGAGGTTTGGCGGAGGCTCGTCGCATCGGCCGATTTCAAGGTCCTCCGTGGCGAGCGGGCAGCGCTGCGGAAGGCGGAGAGATATCTGGAGGCCGATCGGCTTTTTCTAAGGTGGGAGCAAGAAGGCGAACGACGTGAGGGACCTGCCTATCTCATTGTCCAGGTATGTGAGGCCGAATTGGATGCCTTTCCTTTTCCCCTTTTTAAATTCTCTAATCCGGCCGCACTTCATTGTATCCTGACGTGGTAGCTTTCTCCACGGCTCTCCTCTTTCTCGCACTCTGTCCCTTCTGCGCTTCTACCGTTGGTATGCTTTACTGACCAGTGCCTGGCCAGTGGATCCTCCTCAAAATGTCGCCAACGCTTAAGCTGGAGATAAATACGTTGTACGTGAAGGTTGAAGCGACAGCAGCGGACATCATCGTCCTTCTTCTCGCGCTATACCAGCGTGCTGAAGATATACCCGCTTCGCCACTTACGAGGATGTCGTTCCACGCCGCGGTCCTTCTCGGCGGTACCGGCGGTTTCCGGCCCGGCAGCCTTATGAATACCCTGTGTCGGCAGTACACCTTGTCCGTCGTGCGCAATCCCGATGACAGGACCCAGACGAGGATTGTTGTTACACCCAACATCGGTCGGAACAAGATCAAGATGACCCAGATGACCTGTAAATACAGGAAGCAAAAATCGTGAGCAACTCCATCCTTAGCAAATTGGAGGCTGAGGGCTGACCAAGTGTATCCCTTTACCCCCTATCAACAGCGTCGCCTACTCTACCACTCTCGTGCCGTTTCCCGTCCTCTGCTTGGCAAGCCTCGTGATCACCCGGGCGTTGGAGATGGACGCTTTAGCAATCAGCTTTGAGTCGGCCCACGAGCTTCTCCACCGTCCAGCCCTTGGAAGGACCGACCGCATCGACATTCCCTGGAAGGAGGAATTCCTGGACAAGCCTCTTTTCCCACTGACATACCCCCAGTTTTACGAGCTGTGGATGCGGTGCCTCCTTGTCATCGGCTGCCGTAAGACTATCCGCCCTTATGCTCTTCGCGTCGGTGCTGGAGCCCGCATGGATGGTATGTTGCTCCCGGACACCGACCGCCGCCAGATGTCGGATTGCCAATTAACACCCATTGCAGACAGCCTGTCAAGTGCCCTACGGAACTACGTCATGAATCACTCGGGAGCCATTTTCGAAACCGACTACCAAACGGGCGTCGTGAGACCTAATCTCGCCGCATTAGCTTTTGGGCCTAAGGCGGTGCGCCGGGATGAAACGCTTTTCAACGACCTTCGCAATATGACCCTTACACGGGATGAGGGTGCCCCCATCTCGGTGTCGAAAGAAAAGATTGCGGAGTTCCAAGGACGAAAGGACATCGCCAGGTTCCGCGCCGAGATCCAGGCCGCAACCGACCAGGGTGAGAAGAACAGGCTTCACAGACAAATAAAAAGCACCATCGAGACTTGCAAGAAGCTGCAGCTCGATGCAGATCGCCGAGCCTACTTCGAGGAGGCGGACCGGTTGCGTCTCCGGGGTCTTGAGCCGGAGCCGACGCCCGGCGCGGGGGGTCCGGGTATCGCGGCTCCGGTGGCCGCCCTTTTATCGCGCCTAAGGCTGCAAGACGAGAGCGAGCCATTAACGATCGACACAAGCATATCGGAGCTGTATATCGAAGCGCAGCGGCTGCACCTCTCGTCCATCGCACTTAGCCTGCCACGGCAGGTACCAGAGCAAGTGGCAGCTTCCAAGCCGCAACGGGCACCGCAGGCTCCAGAGACAGCGGCAGCTTCCAAGCCGCAACGGGACTCCTGCTGTTTCGTCTGCTCCAAAGGCTACGTAAACCGCTCTTGCCTTACGCGACACTTCCGGAATAAACATCTTGCCGACGGCACGTTTGACAAACCTTTCGCTTGTCGCGAGTGCAAGCGCGCCGGGGCGACAGAGGTTGTCGTCCACGGCCCGGCACAGTGGTGCAATCACCTCGAGCATACCCATGGCCTGATCCACACACCAAGCGTCAATCCAGGTGCCAGCCCTCGGGATCGTCCGTCAAATCCGCCGTTGATCTGTCTTCTATGCGAGACACCTATGGCATCTGCGAGTACTCTCCTCGACCACATGAACCGGACCGAGATTCCCCGGTATCGTAAGGGCCTTTCCGTCGCCTGCGGCGCCTGCGCTCGTGAGGGCCAAGTTGACGTCAAACCCATGAGCATCTGGGAATGGCTGACGCACGCTCGAGCCGTCCACAAGTGGTCTCTTCCTCACGCGGAGCCGTGCCTTCTCTGCGGACATCTCTGCACCCCAGGACCCGGCTTCCGGAAACATTTCACCGCTCAGCACAGCCACGGGCTCGGAAAGCCTCTAGAGTGCGCCGCATGCGTGGCTTCGGCAATGCCGGCGGGAGGGATGCAGGAGATCCACGGGTTTGAGGAGCTCCTCCGCCATGCCATGGACAAGCACTCAGGACCGGCTGTTGCCGGGGGAAAGCGCAAGAGGGACGGCAACATGGACAGCGAGTGCACCGCTCCAGCCGCCAAGCGCAAGGAGGGCGGCGACGGCGGCGAGTGCACCGCTCCAGCCGCCAAGCACAAGGAGGGCGGCGACGACGGCGAGTGCCCCGCTCCAGCCGCCAAGCACAAGGAGGGCGGCGACGACGACGAGTGCACCGCTCCAGCCGCCAAGCACAAGGAGGGCGGCGACGACGGCGAGTGCACCGCTCCAGCCGCCAAGCGCAAGAGGCTTGCCACGCGCAAGAGGCTTGCCACGCGCAAGAGGGCCGCCAAACAAAACGTGGCGTACAAGAAGGAGCGTTCCCCTTTCATCGTATACGATACCGACAACGATCTGTGCCATGACGTGATTATCTGCGCGTCGACTGTCGACGAGCAGCAAAAGTGCTATCTCGAAGAGAATCATATGGGCGCAAGTGTATTCCTGAATTCCGATTTTCTACGGCACGTCGACCCCGCCCTTCTCGCTCCGTAGGTTGCAAGCTTCAGGGGTACTCTACTACTGGGCCTCTCTCTGTTTTCTAACTATCCTCTATCTGTACTGTACGTAGGCGAACATTCAAATGTAATTGTTGGAAGACCAACAGCCACGATTCCATGGTGATCACACAGATGAGAGCTCACGATAGTGGGTTTGAGGTGCTCCAGGGCACCAAGGAGTGATTGATTGAAGATTGTCCTTGTCCGTCTTCAGAGGTGGGCATCGCCCTGATCCTGATAAAAGGCTTGTTGCCCAGTTCCTGGCTACCCCTCAACAATAGGGCACGGTAACCCAGCTTCCGAGTTTCAAGTTCCATGACTTCCAACAACCGATCGTTTCAGGGTGCCCCGACTTTCTAACAGTTAGATGGTAGCCTTTGTCAAACAATGGTATTGATATGGGAATCGGACGCGAAAACTATCTTGCAAAGGACTTCTACCTATAACTCCTCCTCTTCTTCTTCCTCGATAAAGGAGAGGTCTGACCTCGTTGTTGATTCGACCGGGAGGGGATTCGACTGCATCGAAGGGCCCCTGTCTTCCTCGACTCCGTCCATAGTTGTTGATTGGACCGGGAGAACCAGGGCATTCAGGGGATGCGACTGCACTGAAGGGCTGCTGTGTTCCCCCATCCCCTGTACCAACATTGAAGTAACCCGACTGTCCCAAAGCACAGCATCTCGCTTCCTCGCGGCTGTCCTGTTGTGTTCATCTCGCAAATCTGACGGGACAGGGAGTGTGCTGGGCGACGCACGCTCCTCGGCGGCGGGAGCCTGCCTAAGCCTCTTCGAGGCCAGCTCCTCAGATCTTTCTTGTCGAATTGTCGATATGCCGGACTCCTCGAGCGGGTGTTTTCCTAGGTATCGTGTTGGCTCGGCCTTCTGCTTGTTCATACCCCGAATAGGTGGTATGGCTGGACGGAAAGCGTGGCGGGCGGCTCTGGGTGGATGAGATGGAGTGGAAGCATCAGCGGCGCGGCTGGATTCTCGATCTGGTCTCGTCGTAGTGGGCCGTAGCCGGCTTGGTGGCGTCGGCACGTGCGTGAAGTCGATATCATGGATGCCTTGAGCTCTGTGATCCCAGTTGGGTGGTTTCACTATGGGTGGTTTCACTATGGGTGGATTCACCACGAAAACAGAACGCGCAGCTTCGCGACCAAAAGTGGTGACTGCGCTCGGCGATTTGTCGCTTGAGAGGCCGAGGGATTCAGATCGGAGGTTTGGTACATGCTGGACGGTCGCCTCGTGCGATGGCTCAGATGCTGACGAGCCTGTCGGTCGAATAGCTGCTCCCTCGGCACCCTGCGCCGCTTCGCGGCCCGGCGAAGCTGGTAGAGATAGGGCAAAAGGGTTCGAGACAGAGGCTGCCCCGCCAAGTCCTGCGGCTTTTCTAATACCCTGTTGTCCTATGACGGATCGAGCTGCTTCACGTCTTGGAATGCCCGCAGCGTCTTGTCGGGGTGCCTTCTTAGTCACGGAAGCCGCCATCTCGCGCCTCGGTTTTGCAGCCGACCCAAAGTAACGGGATCTTGGCCTGATCTTGTTCCCCGCAGTACGAGGGGCAACCGGGGCCCTGTCTCCCTGATCGTTCTCGGCATGCAGACCCATTTCCTCATCGACATCGTCATCCGCGCGCGTATCTTGTGACTTGCGTTTCAGAACGACAGTATGCTTTCCAAAGAACGCCGTCGTCATATCGAGCAAGACAAATTCGGGGTTGGGCTGACGACGCCGCGTGGCAGCTAGCGTGGGAAGGAACCCGTTTGCTCGTATATACCAGAATGTCCGTGTGAAAGGCCTGCCACCTCTCCAGTCCGGTATTTCCTGCAACGGGGGGGAGGGCTGGGGGCCGGCGTGCGAGGGCTGGGACAGGGCAGCCTGGATTTTGGACGTTCGAAACCCGAGTTCAGAGGCCAGTTGCAGGACGTATGCGACGCACTGGGTATTCACGTCGGCCCTGAAACTGTCTTGTGGCCAGTCTTCACGGGGCGGGAGGTCATCCTGGAGCCATGGGAAGAGCCGCAAGCAAGCTAAACAGAGCTGCGTGAATGCGAGGTAGGGCGATGCTGGCCCCTCAATCTCGGCCATCTCGCCATCATTAGCCTCCACTTGCACAACCTCCGGGCCCGTCCAACTGCCGGAGAGGACTTCGAAGATGGTTGGGCTCCTCTTTCTGCTGCTCTTGCATAGTGGCAGCTCGTCAACGACATGTCGAATCAGGATCTTGGCTGCCAAGCCAACGTAATGCATGTTCTCTTGAAACGTCTCGAAACTCGGGATAACCATGTCGAGGGAAAGAAGGTTTCGCCGTAGCATATCTCTGTCGCTGGAATCGGTCACGCGAGGAAATAGCGTGCCGTTGTCGAACAGGCGCTTGATCGTATCTGCGTCTCCCGAACAGACCGTAGGCATTCGGAACTGAACGATACGGATGCTGTCAATGTCGAGAGACTGCATGATCGTCTTCTTGCCCTGGCATATCTCCTCCTTCCAAACCACGGAAATGTGGTTGAGGTAGTTGATGATTTGCTCATCGATGTGCAAAGCAAGCCATTTATGGATGTTCCCGAGGCGCAATTGCTCCATCATTGCAGGGATATCGAACAAGCTGTTGAAGGCTTTGACCATGGGCAGGTTCTTAGGCCTCAGAAGCATCCTCATGTTGCGCTCTTTAGGCCCCGTGAGGGAGCCCATACAGAGCGCGTATGTGACCTCATCGCGGCGGTAGCTCTCCACGATCCTCTGGTACAGCTCTCCATCCGATTGTTGTGGCTCATGGGAAAATGCGGAAATGAGTTCGAGCAATGGATCGAGCACTGTATCGTCAGCCTTCAACCAGGTTCGGGAGAGAGAGTTCGTGGCTTACGATCCGCGGAGAAGAGATGAACGACCAGCGAAGTCTCTTTATTGCCCTTGGCCGCCGCAACAAGATAGTCGCCGTAGAGGCATGACAATCGGATCCCGGTGAGAAGAGGCAAGCCCTTTTGCCCTTTCCTCTGAGTTCCACGGAGCTGATCGGCGGAGAGCCCCAACTGCGCTAGGATCTGTCCGAACTTTCCTTCTTCCACGGTGCAGGGTATACGAACCTCAGTAGCGCCTGCTTTGGACAAGTTTTTAAAGACTCTCCCAAGTCTTTCCCGTACTTTAAAGCTGATCTGCCTCCGGTGAGGGAACTCCAAAGAGTCGAGAGGAACTCGCACAGCGCCTAGGGACATTTTGGTCGTTCCGAATATGCTAGACGTAGAGACACACTCCGTTTACCGAGAAAGGGGCAATTGCAAGGAACTTTAGAGGTTCTTCGCCATATGCCCGTGCTAGCGGTTGGCTGTATCTTGGTGGGCTGCCGGAACGGGAACACGAAATCGGGACGGGAACGAGTAAAGGAATTAACCCTAACCCTAAGCGGCGATTAAAACAAACGAAACAAGTGAGACCGTGCCGCTGCGCGGCCCGCCAAAGGAAGCCTGGAGGAACTCGGCAGCTGGCAAGTGATTGGTATGCATGATACGGTTGGCATCACCCGCAACTGGCTGCAATCATTGGCGGTATGCATCTATCTCCACCAGGGATTAGCCCCTCCCCATTCCCCCCTCCGCCCCAACCAGGTTCGCAGGCTCGACGATGTCATCGCCTTTTGTCGTCAGGGTCATTGGTGATTGTTGGTAAAGTCAAGGAAAGGTGGTTTTTCCAGTGATGTCAGGGTTTAATCATACAGCCGTGGTTTCTTTGTTCCTGCCGTGGACCTCTTGCTCCTGAGCGGCTCGGGAGAGCTTGGCCCCTTCCTCTTCTTCGTTGGTCGAGTACCGCTCGGAGCGAGTTGTTCGTTCAACAATTGTTCTGTATCTGAGCCGCCGTCCGTGTGATCCGTATCTGAATTGGTGGTTAGCCTAGCCATCGGCATGGAAGTGGCTGGACATACGTGTGGTTATCTCAGGGCAGTTTTGGTGGGTGATCCGCGGATGACCCCGCAGATGACGGCTCCGCCCTGAAATAACACTTTTACCATACAAGGGCGGCCGTCAGGCCGCCCGAAAAAAAAATTGACGGCGACAAAAAGCAGAAAAAGTAGGTAGTAGTATATATACGGACTAGGGCTAACGCCCAGTGGCATTTTCGAACTGTGCATCGCTGTGGTTGCAGTGGACTTTGCGATTATTGGTTTCTGGGCGGCCTTTTTAGGGGCACGAACACCCTACCTGGGGGGGCGTCGCGACCTCCTATCGCCAGTAAATCTTAGCGGACTTCAATTATAATTATGTACTGTAATAGGGGGCACAGCAGCACCAGACAAACAAACAATATGGACGCACATACTGTACGAACTGTATACCAAACGTAGCGAGGCGATCATTATTAAGTTAGAGTATAATTCGGAATGCATGAAGAAAGACAGCTCCCTACAGCTTTCGGGTCGCCTTTAGCTGCTTTGCCAGGGCATTCAGCGATAGATTACCGCCCTCAACGCGCCGCTTTTCAACCTCCTGGACCGCGTCCTCCTCCGGCCACCCATTGGCGCCGGCCAGCCTCACGACCTCGTCCATAACGACCTTCCGCATGGAGAAGAGCTGCCTCTCGTTACGTAGGCGCCATCGTGAGCCCCACTGCTTCTCTAGCTCGTCAACAGCGGGCATCATAGCGAACCCGTGGCGCCAGAGCCGATAAAGGTCGCCGACGGTGCGGAGCGTGCGTGGGAAGCGAATCTGCGGCGGGCCTTGCGACGCGACCGTCATGGCTGGCGCCCCAAGCGCCGCAGGGCTCGAGACGCCGGCTACCATAGCCGCGGTGGTGAGCGGAGGTCCGGCCAGCGGAGTTCCCCGTCTCTGGCGCGGCGGCTCGGGCGGCGATAGGGAGACGGCATCGCGGCCCTGCCGGCGCGCGAACTGTTCAGTTCGGTGCAGCCGCCCACCAGGGGTAAAGGTGGTGACCACTTGGTACTCCATCCGACACATGTCAGCGACTTGCGCCTTCAACATCCTCACCTCCTCCACCAACTCCATATGCCTTCTCTCCACCGCCTTCTCGACAGTGAGCTGATGGGCCGTTAAGCCTCTGAGCTTCTCAGAGACCTCAGGGATCACCTTCTCAATGGCTGTGCCGCGGTCGTCTTCAAAGCTCTCCTGCGCAGCACCCCTGACCCTGATAGCAAAGGCGCTGAACTGGGGCGACCAAAACACAGGATCTCGGAACACCGCGTGCCCTGGGTACTTTGCCATCAAGAACACGGCGTCCTGCAACAGGACGTCCCGCAGCCAGTGCAGCAGCTCGATAAACGCGCCGGTAGCCTTATCGTCGGCCTCGAAATGACGCCAGCGGTCTAGTTCCGGCCATATCTGCGAGCGTAACCAGGGCTCCGGCTGCACCGTTGCCCTTGGTACATGGTAACTGCCCGCCCACGCAGGCTCGAAGTCCGCCGTAGCGCGCATGAACTCGAACGGCAGGGTGGTTATATAGCAACCGGTCATCTGGTCGCTGTTGTCCCACCGGCCGGCACGCCGGATCTAAGTAATGCGGCAATTGGTTAGTCGGGTCAGCCGCTCGGTTACCTTGCGACTGCGAGCCCCTGGAGCCTGGCAAGGCCTGCTTACCTGTGCGTCTGACACTCCTGCCATGTCGGCGTTTTGCGCCGCTGCCACCCTGGGCGCGTGGGTGGCCTTACTTGTGTTGATGCCGCACATACTAACGTACTTGCATAACGAGTCGGACAACATAACGAACCGGACACTTTCCTCAGACCCCGATCACTTCATATAAGTTAATTCAGCCACCACATCTCAAATCAATCAAGACTACTCGGACCCGCTATCCTCAGACGTCTCGCAAACTACTTGACAAGTTCGCGCATTATGACCAGGCTGCTTGCAGTTGCTACAGAGCCGAACGCGGGGCTTAGCGACGGTTATACAACCACCACTCGTGGACGTTTCCTCGCAATCCCGACCAAGTAGCCCCCGGGCGCCCATCAAAACAGTCGCCTCTTGCAAAGTAAGTGATCCTCCGTCCTGCAAACGCGTTTTTTTGGTTCTGCGTCGCTTGCTTAACCGCTCATTTGCCGTACGAAGCTCCTTGGTCTCGGCTCGGAGCAACACCATCTCATGCGCTAACCTCGAGATGCTCTTCGCTTGCAAGTCGATAATGTCGAAAATGTGACTGGGGGAGCTACCTTGATGGTTTTCGATCTTCCGTTTGAGTGTGCTGGAGCTCAGTGTCGCTTCCTGCGCATTGGAGGGTGTCTTGGGCACCCAAGACGTAGCTGTTCCGGGACGCGAGCTCGGAGGAGATGGAGTGATCGGCTTAGGGTCGAGGCGAGAAACCACGGATTCGGGGTCGAAAGGGACGAGGCCAGTTGCTCTGAAGCCCGCCCGTATGTTGTTCGCCGTAACAGAGGCGTGGAATGCCTCGACAAACGCGTCAAAGAAGTCTTCCTTCGTGATGTGGGTGATCTGCATCCGCATCATCTGCTCGATTTGCTTGCCGTATGAGGTCTTGAGCGGGCTGAAACATCCCACATCGAGAGGCTGAAGGAAGTGAGATGAATGGGGAGGCATGCAAAGTGTAACAATGTTGTTGGCCTTGCAGAGATCCTCGAAGCCGACCGAGTGGTGGCTTTCGTGGCCGTCGAGGATAAGTAGTCGATGTACCCCTCTCGTACGACGCTTGGTAGACTGGTCAAAATGTTTTAGCCAATCTAGACCAATCTCGTTTGTAGTCCAGCCATTCTCGCTCGTATGGACTCTCCATTCGGGCTGGAATCGGCTGTCCTGGTACCAGGGGAGGAGGTGGTTTTTCCCCTTGACGACGAAGTACGGCGGCACGATCCAGCCGTCCGCACACACGGCCTGGATCACCGTAACCCACTCCCGATTGCCAGGTTGCTTCGCACGAGGCCGACCGCTGCGTTCCCTGCTTGTCACAACCTTTGCACCCGAAAGTATGCCCATCTGGAACCCAGTCTCGTCGAAATTGTAGATGTCCCCCTCTTGGATCGCGTATTTGTCTATCACGTTTCGTACAAGGCGAAACCACGCGTTTACCACGTCGGGATCTTCACATTGGGTCCTCTGGTAATCGATTCGACGTCGAAAACGCGTCGTAAGCTCGTCATGTCGGTCCACGAAGTTGTTCGCCCATCGGGGTCCGACGCGTGACGCGTCGCGTGCCGCGCGAAGACGATCGGCCATTTCTCGAATGTCAGAGAGCCGGGGCTGATATCCTCGCGCGTCAAGGTCGAGTACCCTCTCGAGAAGCACCTTTTCTTCCAGGTCGGTCAATTTCCGAAGGTTGGCCGATATTTCGCGTCGTGGTTTCTTTCCAGCGAGTCGGTCATATAGCGAGCTGTTCGGGATATCGTAGATCGTAGCAGCTTTTCGCATGGAAAGTTTGGGATTTTTCTGAAGAGCTTCAAGTGCAAGGATCATACGACCTTCTTTCGGAAGAGGTTCCATTGTGTTTTGTGGGGGAATTTGGTGATGAAGTTAGAAGGTGGTGGGGTCTGAGAAAAGTGTCCGGTTCGTTATGTTGTCCGACTCGTTATGCAAGTACGTTAGCACATTCAGGAAATGCATTTCAGGCGGCACATTCCAGGCGGCACATTCAGCAGCATCATGCCTTAGGCATTGCAATTATCCTTTGCCGTCCTATGCTAGGGCCGGAGGAGCCGGTGTATAGGGCCCGCTTCTTCAACATGGACCCTACAGACTACGTGAAGACTGTCAATATATATGAGCTGTTGGATCCGGATTTTGTTGCGGAGGATGAGCATGATGATGCCAATATTGAAGAGCGGCTGCAAAATCTGACGCTCAAGAACACAATTGAAATCACCAGCGGCAGCGTAAGCGGCAACGTAAGCGGCAACACCAACAGCAATGGCAGCGGTTACAACAGTGGCAACCCCAGGGCCAACGCCAGTGGAAACATCAACAGTGGCAATGACACCGGCGACGACAGCGACGGCGGGGGCTGGGAAACCGTCGTCAACAATATCGACACGGGAAAACGCCACCGCCGCGTTGTCAACCAGCGGCCGGACTGCCCTTATGGCCTGCGGTGCAAGAAGCAAGACGACTGCGGCTACCGCCACACCGCCCAGGAGCGGCGGCTGTTCCAGCAGAACCCAAACCGGAACCTCGGCATGCGCAACACCCAGATGTGTCGGTACGCTTCAAACTGCTGGAGCGGGCGGGACTGCCTGTACGCACATACCGAAGCCGAAGCGAGGTGTCTGGACTGCAAGTAGACGGGCCATTTCAAAGGCGACGCTGCCAAAGGTCTTTTGCAAACCTAAGCGTGCCGTCGGTGTATATTTGTTGCAGCGCTCTCAACAATCTAATCAATCCAATCCAGGCCTCATAATTGGATTGAATTGAGGCCTTTCTGAATAATTGATTGATTGAAGCCCCAGATGGATGGATAGATGGAATTTATTTCGCCCGGAGGCGCGAAGCCTAAAGGCCTTGGCGCGCTAACTACATCCAATTCGTTAACGTTCAATCATCAACTCGTATAAGCCCTTTACTCTCACCCCTTTTCTCACGCCCCTGTTGCCTCTTAACTTAGTTCAGCAGATTGACTTGGAGGCTACGTTCTCCAAGTGTTCAGCGTCCTATCTTCAGCAGCTAAAGCGGGATCTGCTGGTTGTGGCTGTGTAGTGTTAGTGGAGCTCCGCTACTGTGATTGTCGTAATCTTCGTCGTTCCTCGTCAAGATCCAATCTCCCTGTCGCCATTGCGTACTTGATCGTTGCCCGGACTGCTTTCATGTCTGGCGACCACATCTTTGGATCCGATGGTGCTTTCCCTCCCAGGTAGAATGAGAGGCTCCCTCGCCTTGCCACTGTGCATTGCAACATGTCTTCCCTCAGGGCTGCCCACCTCACGCATCGCAACAGAAAATGTTCCGCTGTTTCCCTCGCTCGGCCGCAGGGACAGAGGTCTGACTCGACTGCTCCAATCCTGCTTAGAAAGCCGTTCAGCCTCGCCATTCCGGTTCGGAGTTGTGCCAAGATACAGGCCTCTCTTCGCTTCAGCTTGTCGTAGAGGTCGCGAGTGTGCTTGCCAGGTAATGCCCGGTCCAGAGCCTTTGAGAACTTGCCTACGCTTTCAGGAAGAGCTCTCCCCTGTTGTTGTTTGGCCAGTGCCAGCCTGATTGCAGTGGACTTGGCCTGGGGCATCAGGACGTTAGGTGTGCCCCCTTGCTTTGTAGCCCTTTACGCTGCCGCCTTGGCCTCCGATCCCAACGCGAAGTTGGCTTCCGCTGGTATCCATAGGAGGTCAACTGAGTTCCCTCTCTTCTGCGGCCTCCTGAGCGCAGGGACTCTCTTCTCGGCGCTCGCCCACGTGCTCCTCGCATCGGTGAAATGAAAATCCGCCGCCTCGGAGGAGAAGGGGGAGTCTCGGCGCAGACGGACGGGGAGCGGGGAAACAGGGCGGGGAAATTAATAAGAATCCGCTGCTGGGTTGTTTGATTGCGCCGGTTTACGAAGTCAAGGGCAAGGGAACTGAGTTGGATTGGAGGAAAGACAGGAGGACAAGGTGGCGGAGGGTACAGGATGACTTTGACGACAACGAGGCTTGTCATTCTCGACGGCGGCACCTACGGGAGGGCTACGGAGTCCCAAACCGGAGGAGTGGGATGGGATGAGCCATCTCGTCGACATTAGCCCTCCTAAGCCTTCCGCTCGGCACGGCCGTCGTCCTGTCGTCCACGTCGTTTTCTGGGAGGTGGTGGTGCCGGTGCTGCGAGTAGTAGGCCCCGTCGCGCTGCAGGCGCATGAGGTAGCCCTCGGGCACCCACTTGGCCCAGATCCAGGGCTTGAGTTTGGGGCTTTGCCGAACCCTTCAAGCAGATGCAGAGCGGCGGCGCTGAGGGCGAGGGCGGGGACGAGGCAGAAGATGAAGAGAAGGCCGGGGGCATGAGAAGGAGGGGCTGGGGTATGAGAAAGCATTGGCTCAGCATCCCGAAGTTGTTTGAAAGGCCTTCTGGTTCATTTCTGCAATGGCGTCTTGAATATTCCCTATCAGAAGGGCTGGCTACGGTCGGGATATACTCGAACACACCTCTGATGACGACGATTCGCATTTGCACCTTTGCAACTCTACTAAGATATACCTAGGTTGCACTTCATGTCGAATACTTGGCGGAAATCACGGAACCGAACCACCACCCTGCAGATCCTCGGGTCATTTCCTCTTGGCCTCCCCCTCGCCAAACTTCATCACCGTCTCAACGCTCCCTTTCTCTAGCGCTGCAAGACGTCCTGCCTCCCGGCCATCAGCAGACTCTGCAAGCTCTCGAACAACCAGTGCATGTGTAAGTTGGTGGCCCACTTTGTTCAAACCACCAGAGGAGGTCGAAGTGATTCGAGTCTTGCAATACTGTGTGTAGAAGAGACTCGGCATTGGGCTCAGATTGAAAGCAGGCGAGTTTCAGCATCGGTCACCGAATGAACGAAGCGTGTCTTGGACGTCGGGCTCGGATGAACGTGGATGAGTCTCGGGCATCGAGCTCGGAAATAGACTCGGTGAACACGAAGAGTGGAAATCATACGATAACCAGTGTATGCGTGTCTCAGACATCGGCTTTAGAATGAGTCTGCTATAGACACAGAGACTGGCTAATGGCCTACCTCGGTTAACGCAAGCCGTCTCCACATACTACCTCAACGCAATGCATCCGGTCACATACCGCGCCCTTGTAGCTGGAGGGCTGGGTAAGCGTTCCCTAAAGTCCGTCAGAAAATGGGCTGAGCCCACACCTCCAGTTCGACATCTCTGAAACTGAGTGCCTCAGCAGGTGGCTTTTTAAGACACTAAGGGCCGATTACTAAGATAGACATGGCGATGGAAGAAAATCTGTGGCTGAAACAAATATCTCACCGAGTGTTTCGAGCTCCGAACTGCAAATCCTTCATTGTGATTATTCGGGAATCTGGCTTTGTTCGGAATTCGAACAACAGGCCGCTGCTCGGGTGTTCGTACCGAAGGTTAATGTCATGACTACCTATTTAAAAGGTTGACAGGATGCCAGAATATAAGATGGAATCTAGGCTGTCTTTCCATAATCTTTGCCGTTCAACCCTTGAGCTTACACAGAAGATACGTATTGAACAATCGGCAGCATGCAGCTCGTCTTAGGCCTTTTCGTCTTTGCCATGACTGCGCTCTATAGCGTAACGGCAACAGAATACTGTCAGTGCGAAAACAACGACTATGCCGACTATGGTCGTATATTCCCCGGCATCAACCAAGTTTGTTCAACCTTGTCGTACGTTTTCGTCTCGCAGTCTCCCAATTGATTTTCATTAATCAATGTGCTGACGAAATACCTACCTCGGTCTACAAAGAAATGACTGGTGCTCCACCAACTGCAATATCTTCGGTAAGAACTGTGATTACTGCCAGTATACCCCGAAAGGCCATGGGCCAGACGAAGACTTCCATCGATTGCAATCCTGGTGTAAGTTCAACCTTAGCCGAACCTAACGAGCCGCAATCACGCATCTGCGGAACTGCTACCAACAGATCCTAACTTGCTTGGTTCTATATAGGCTCCCAGCAACAAGGCACGCACAATGATCATACATACTATGGCACGCTCTACTGTTACTCTTTCGAAAACAGTAAGCTCTCTCTTTCCAGCATACACTGTTGTCCCGTTGCCCACAGCAAGCTAAGATGCCCCTAGAGGTTGATTGCAGCTCTTGCGGGGGGTGTGCCTACGCAAACAACGGCTACAAGTTGCGCCGCAACGAGCAAGAGTGTCCTGTAGGCACTGATCCCGACCAGTGCACTGCCAAGACAGCGCCTGACTCCTTCGTCACCCTCGTCGAATACAACGCAGATGGGGAGGTGATTTCGGAGAGCCAATGTAGGCCAATCTTCGGAGATGCCGCGTCGACGATCGCCGATTCTCTCAGCAACTGCACCACGAGTGGATCAGGTTCAACCAACATAACAGTGTCCTGTACGAGCTCGCAGGGAGAATCGGATGGGAACTCGGAGACTATGCAGGCCTTTCACACTCTGTGTGACGATTTCGGTGGCCTGATCTCCAGTAAATCCCGATCCAAGCGGCTTTGAAGCCTGCGTTGAGGATCAAGTTCAAATGTGGTCTGCGGATGAGGATGAAAAAAAGACTCTAATTGCTTGAATCCTGCGCCTCGAGCGTAGGATGATGGCTGAGGAGAGGAAAGTCATCGAACGGTCACTTCAAGGATGAATATGGAACTGAAAGCAGAGCATTCCTTCTGTCCTGGAATTATTTAGTTAGCTGTCTCTATGCTCTACGCTATGGCTTTTTCAACAAGAGTCATATGCGTCCTAGCGTTAACGTTATATCAATGCTTATTTTATTCAGGTCGATTTCAGTGGCTTTCTGGTCCAATTTACCACTCTCGGTACCGTCGTAGTTAAGGCAAAAAGGGGACACTTTCTTTCACTCTTCTTGCAACCGTTTAGGCGACAGAACGTATCAGACTCGTGCGCCAAGCGGCACACGCAAGTTGACAGGACTCTAGAAGACAATAGGGACAAAACAGACACAGCAGTTGTTCAGTGTCTGACCATTGAAATGCTGTTTTGAACCCCGTATTACCCCTACACCGTAACAATTTTAGGTTCCTTTCAAGACAACTTCTTCTGGTGCTCTAATGATTCTTTGCCTCTTGCTGGAATTTTTTGATGTTGCTCACAAATTGAAGTGCAATGCCTGGCTTCACCTGGCCCTTGACCATCAACTCGGCAGTGACCTTAGGGTTCTGCAGGATGGAATTTAGCTCCAGGAACTGAGCCTTTGCACACTGATTTGCAGCTTGCAGCGCCTCTCTCCACCAGTCGTTCTTGACTTGCTGCAGAAGATCTCCATCAAAGATCGTCTCGACCACATCGCGATGCTTGCCGTGGGCGGTCTGGACTTTGCACTGACTACAGTCGGAGCTATCGGCCTTCTGCTTGCGGCTATCATCCAACACATCTTGAAGGATTTTGGGCGGCATCTCGATATCAACGGTGATCTCCTCCCTTTCTCTCCTTCCTTCTTGGTGCCTTTGATATGATGGATAATTTCTTCTAGGTGTCTTGACAGCAGCCTATCAGCCCTGTCACCAAGTCAAGTCAAGTCAAGTCCGAGGCCAGACTTGACTTGACTTGACGAATTTAAGCCAGACTTGACTTGATCGACCCCCGACTTGACTTGACTTGGAAGACTTGCCAAGAAAAGAGCTCGGATATGGTACTGTAGTTATTCCGAACCCGAAATAGATACAAGATGGGGCTCCAAGAATGTCATCAAGCCACAACGCCCCCAACTAGTTCCCCACGCGCCCAATTTCGTACACATTGAAGCTCTGATAGGGTATTGTCGCCAAGGGAATGTCGTTGTGACCCTATCGCGAGCTTTGCTAGGCTGAAGGTCCGCTCACATTCTGTTGCGCAAGGAGGTATTGAAAGTATCTCGAGCGCCATTCTCGTGAGGCGTGGGTACTCGTCTTTCCGGGCCAACCACCATTGGATTGGGTCGTCAACGGGGTGTACAGGTCCCCGTAAGTACTCCCCAACCTCATCCACAATACCGCCGGCAACTGGGGCATCGTAAAAGCTATCCCCGAAGCCAGGGACTTGCTCCGGGGTGCACGGGCGTGCCGGGGACTCGACTGCTGGGTAGTACGTATCAAAGTAAGCCACAAACCGCCGCTGGATGTCCAATATCCTTTGGTCGTTGCCCTCGTAGAATAGCCTCACCCACTTCATCCTGCGCCCGGGGTGCAGAATAAGAGCTGCCCAATAAGCAGGGTTCTCGTCCAGTATCTCAAGATACTTCTCGAGCTTGTCAATGGCGTATTGGAGGATAGATTGAAGACTCGAGAAGGAAGGCACCTCAAGATCATCGTGAAGAGGATTCCCAAGCTCGATAAGGATGTTGTGCTGCCTAGAGCCGGTATCTGGGCGGCGGAGCCCGATCCCGGGGAGGTCGACTTCGTAATCAGCAAATCGAGCGGGCACGCGGCGAATCCGGCGCGGGCGTCGCTGTGCCGTGGCCGGTTCAGGGCGCGGGAATGCCGGGAGCTGACCCGCGGGCCGCTCATTGTTGGACGGAAATACAGAGCTATCGAACCCTCCCGAACGTTCGAACTCCGCGCTGTATGCTCGGTGCAGATGTTTAAGATCCCGGTGGAGGCTGAAGATGTGGGTGACAACGTCACAAAGATTCGGCTTCCTTCCCTCAAACTTTTTCGTGATAAACTTGAACGGGGCCAACAGAGCTCTGATCTCCGTCAGAACTGCCCAATCCTCGGAAGAGAGGATTGCATCATCGCCGAGATCCCCTAATCGATTGTACCGGGCGCTGAATTTGGTGAGGGGATCGCGGAGAACGAGGGCGCGCTCGATCATATGGTATACCGAGTGCCAGCGGGTATCGTTATCAGCCTTCAGCCGAAGGTTTCGAATTGCAGGGTCGACTAGGATAGCACCAATTTCTTCCCGTTCTGCCTCAGTGAGCTTGCCTATAGAGAGAAGACCAAATCAGCACGTAATGTAATGTCTCTTTTTTTTCCGCGAGGGAGAGGGGGAGAAGGGCAAATACCCTCTGTGAAGTCGTCGAAAGCGTCTCTGCGCTGAGGCGTACGGCGGGCGAAGTGTACGAGGTAGTGTAGCTTTCCCACTGGCCCAGTTTCTCGCCATGCGTGGAGAAGCTCCCTCTCCTGTTCCGCAGAAAGCCGCTCATCTGAGCCCTCTGCCAATTTTCTGATTACTTCCTTGTTTTCGCCGTCGAGGAAAGCTCTGGCCACGAGGTTCAAGATGTGGCCCACGCAGCGCACTCGCTTGAGAGATTGGATGAGATAAAGTTGCTGCGTGGAAAGATGTGGATTGAAGTGCCGTAGAAGTTCGGTGACGCACGTATCGTTGTTTTCTGCGTTGTCGGCTTGGAAAACCCCTAATTTAGCTTGAAAGCCAAAGCCCTCAACCACCTCAATCACTCCTTTGGCGAGGTTTTCGCCATTGTGAGTGCCCTTGATCCGCGGGAGGGCGAGCAAGCGAGTGTTGAAGTCCCCTGCAGCATTGAAATAGTGTGCAACGACAGCGAAAAAAGCGGCAGTTCCGGGGGACGACCACCCATCGAAGGAGATGTGGATTGGATTGGGTGTGGCTGTAATTTCGGCTTTGAGGGCATCAAAATAGAGACTGTACTGGGTTTTCAGCCAGCTGCGTGTGGTGACATGGCTTCTTGGAAGGAGGTTGTCGGCCTGTGTTGGATTGAGAATAGAAAGTAGGCTCCGGAAGTACTTGTGTTCCACCACAGAAAATGGGATATCCGAATCGGAAACCCACTTGACTAGGAGCTCTTGGAAGAGGTCCTTAACCTTTGCGGGAGGCGGAAGCTTCGTCTTCTTCGTGGTTCGAGCTTGGAAGAGCTCATCAATCACCGGCGACGATCTCTTGCCCAATGTGTTTGCAGCTAGAAGCTCGCCGTCTTTCGTAATACCGTGCTTTTGTCGGAGGTGTTTGGCTGGCGAAGTTGTTGCCTCCGCGTCAAAAATGTTGTAGCATTTGTGGCAAACCCAGAATTTGCCGTCTGTCGAGCTCGAGTCACCTTCCGCGAGCCGTAGGAGCAGTGTGCCGTGGGCGTTGACCCAGGAAGGTCCATCCTTCAGCTTGAAGTGCGCGCGGAGGTGGTAAAACCGTTTGTCGGGACCCTGAATTTTTGGGTATAGCTTCGCGTCGAGGGGGAGCTCGGTGATGGCTTTGGCATCGCGATTTGCTCCTTGAGGCTCTTCTTGGCCCCCCCGGGACGGCCGAGCGCGTTAAACGCGTTGGACGCGTTGGACGCGTTGGAGCACGAAGGGATTTCGTAATCGATGGTCGGCGCAATGGAAATATCATCGGAGTTAGGGACTGCGGGGGCGGTATTGTCGGTAACGGCGAGAGCCATTTCGGGAGGATTGCGGGCGGGAATGGTAGATTTCGAGCGTTGTTGATCATGTGTACGGATGTAATCAACCTGACTGGGGAGGACAGGAGTTTCTGGCTGAAAAAGTGGGTAAAGGCTTCTTTTGTGGGTTAGTTAACTTAGGTTCATCCAGACCTTGGACCAGCTCCGTGGACATCCAAAATCAGGCGACAATTTACAATATATAACCCTACCCTACTAAGTGTCAAGTCCGTCAAGTCAAGTCGGCGCATCGACTTGACTTGTCAAGTCTCGAGAAATCCAGACTTGACTTACTTGACTTGACTTGACTTGAAGACTTGACTTGGTAGACTTGACTTGCTGACAGCGCTGCCTCCACCGGATTGGAGCAGCTCCGTCAGATCAGTGTGCATGCGGACAAGCAACAGAGACAGTGGACCACTTCCTCTTCCGATGCAGAAACTGGACAGCATACCGATCAGAGATGCTCGAATGTACAGACACCCATAGGAGCAACATTTCCTTCTATCTAGGAGGGAAGTCGCCATCGGATAAGAAAGATTGGATTCCTAACATGACGGCCGTTCGGGCAACGATACGGTTCGCAATGGCCACGGGCCGGCTTGACACGAACCAACCGCAGGCCGACTAAGACACCTAACCCACCACACCGACCGAACCTACACCCCCTCACCTCGTGCTACGGACAGCAGACACCGCTTCAGCCGCCGAAGATAGGACGTTGAACACTTGGAGAATCGCCTTCAAGCAAGCCTGCTAACAATCCTACTAACCCACGAGAATCCGCAGAGAAATGGTATAAGAGAGGACATGAACTAGAATGAAACTTTGTATGGGCTTTGACGAGATCAGGGCATATCTTGGGAAATGTATAGTCAGATTGTAATAGCTGCCCTTTCGGGTTACCCGCCGGGCGTCAATAAATTGTATTGTATTGTATTGTGCTCAACCCCACTTGGACCAACTGTGCCCATCGCCATCATCTCGCCGTCAAACCAGAGCCCTGTGTTAGCGCTGCAGGACCTGGTGGAAAGGAGTGCCTCGACAATCGTTTACGCGGCTAGTGGCTATCTCAAGCCCGATCAACGGCAACTGGGTGTAGTTTCGCTATGGATCCGCGGAAAGGGGATGCGTTCGGGAAACGCGGACGGGAAGTACCAGGTTCTCCGTACTTTGCCTGCCCGTCACCGGTATCGTCTTCAACCTGACTTTCGAGTACGGGAATGGACTACGGCACGGAGCATAGCATCACGGAGTGCGGCAGCATCGCAGCGTAATATACATATACATATACAATTTATTGACGCCCGGCGGGATAACCGAAAGGGCAACTATTTCAATCTGACTATACATTGTCCAAGATATGTCCTGATCTCGTCCAAGCCCATACCGAGTTCATTCTAGTTCATGTCTTCTCTTATACCATTTCTCTGCGGATTCCCGTGGGTTAGTAGGGTTGTTGGTAGGCTGGCTTGAAGGCGATTCTCCAAGTGTTCAACGTCCTATCTTCGGCGGCTGAAGCGGTGCCTGCTGTCCGTGGCACGAGGTGAGGGGTGTGAATTGGTGGTGTTGTGGTAGGTTGGGTGGTTTAGTCGGCCTGCGGTTGGTTCGTGTCAAGGCGGCCTGTGGCCATTGCAAACCGTATGGTTGCCCGAACGGCTGCCATGTTGGGAGTCCAGTCTTTCTTATCCGATGGCGATTTCCCTCCTAGGTAGAAGGAAATATTGCTTCTGTGGGTGTCTGTGCATTCGAGCATCTCCGTTCGGTATGCCGTCCATTTTCTGCATCCGACGTTCGAAGATTCCCGTGTATCCTGATTCTCCTCCGGCATAGAAGAAGCCCTCGTTGAGGAGCCTCCTAGCGTCGCTAGCTTTGGTGACATAGACCACCATGGATCCATACGCTTTTTCAGTGTCTCTTCGGCTCAGCCAGGCGATCTTGGCGATCTGCATCTCGTTTTCCTGGCTCAAGGCTTCTGTAGCTCCAGGAAGGACCCTGCCTTCGTGGTCGATGACAGCCGTGCGATTGACGTTGTCAACTTTGACTGGGTACAGCTGGTCTCGAAGGACTCTTGCACCCGGCGTCTTCTTCGCTTCCATGATGTCCTTGATCTTCTTGACTTCCTCTTCGTTCCTGCCGAGGATCCTAATACGGTTAATGTTTCCTCTGTCTCTAGTGACGGCACCGCAACGCCAGTTGGGTTGGTCGCCAGGCGCTCGCATTTCGTTCTCGATGAGCTTGCGAAGGGCCACCGGTGTAGCCTCTCCGATGTGTTCCTCTGGCACCCTGGTCATGTCCACCGTGCAGAATGCTGGTTCTGGCGTCGCCGCTCGGCCTGTGGAGGAGGCCGGGGTCGGAATGCTGGCAGGAGGTGTACGTCGGGCGACGTCCGAATATGCAGGCCGAACCAAAGGGGCTTCTTGAGCCTCCTTCATGGCTTGAAGCTGCAGTTTAGTGTCCTTGAGCTCACGGCAGGCTCGGGTAAGCTGCTCTCGCGCTTGCGACAGTTCTTCGGTCAACTGGGCCGTCATCTTGGCGACCTCCTCTGTCATGATTTTTCTGATTTGGATCTGAACTTCTGCCTTGGTGATGTCCAATTTGTTGGTGAAGTCACGATCCACGGGTTGCTCTGCGCCTCGGATTCCCTCGTCCGCTCTCTCGGCCGCTCTCTCGGCCGCTGTGGCCCGAACTGTGTGATTTTTGTGGTTTCTCAACACTCTTTCAATACTATTTTCTTCCTCCCAGTCCATATCGTTTTCTTGTTGCATTGACTCCATCGCTCTCTTCGTTTTCACCCTCTTGCGCTGCGGGCGGCGACATCCCACTCCTGGGGATCCCGAATCGCCTCTCATGACGTCGATGACGTCTAAAGCGCCGCGCGCCGCACCAGACATCTGGAAAAGACAAAATCTTCCACCAGGTGCCTCAAAAGAAGAAAAGAAGATCGGTTGTTCAAAGTGGAGAGGAGGTCTGAGGCTGCAACTTCCGAGTCCGTTTTCTCTTATGGGCTATACAGTCACTACCGAAATCACCTTCCGCCTTTTTAAACACTGTTCAGTTTTCAGGGGAGCCGTTTTTGGCCCTCTTGGCGCTTACACTGTGCCTGTTCCCACGGTCAGATGTACCGTGCGGCACTGACAGGCATGGCTTACCCGACGCATGGGGAAGCAGGAAACAGACTTGCAGATTGAGGGCAAGGAGATTTACATTACAACCGATCATTATAGACTCTGAAAATAGGGCTAGTATTGATCCAAATTTAATGATGCCAACCTGCGAGTCACCTCCTGGTACCAATCGTGCTGAACGCCAAACACAGCTTTGATGCCGCCCTGACAACGCAGATACAACACCCTAGATTCAGAAATGTTGTGCAGCCGAGAATATATGATGGCAAGATTCAGGATCGTGTTGAGGGCCGGAATATAGAGATTGACCTGTTCCGGTCCCAGCACCTTCTCGTAACCTCGGAGTGCCCGCTTGTACATAACCTCGGCGTCGCTGAGCCGGCCTTGATATGCATAGAGACGGCCGAGATTGTTGACCGTGGAAAGCGTCAACGTGTGTTCCGATCCAAGCGCCTTCTCCCTGCCTCGGAGCGCCCGCTCGTACATAGCCTCAGCGTCGCTGAGCCGGCCCTGATCGGCATAGAGAAGGCCGAGATTGTTGACCGTGTCTAGCGTTGACGTGTGTTCCGGCCCCAGCGCCTTCTCCCTGCCTCGGAGCGCCCGCTCGTACATAGCCTCAGCGTCGCTGAGCCGGCCCTGATCGGCATAGAGAAGGCCGAGATTGTTGACCGTGTCTAGCGTTGACGTGTGTTCCGTCCCCAGCGCCTTCTCCCTGCCTTGGAGCGCCCGCTCGTACATAGCCTCAGCGTCGCTGAGCCGGCCCTGATCGGCATAGAGAAGGCCGAGATTGTTGACCGTGTCTAGCGTTGACGTGTGTTCCGGCCCCAGCGCCTTCTTGTAGCCTTGGAGTGCCCGCTTGTACAAGACCTCAGCGTCGCTGAGCCGGCCCTGATTGGCATAGAGGTTGCCGAGATTGTTAACCGTGGCAAGCGTCGACGTGTGTTCCGGTCCTAGCGCCTTCTCCTTGCCTCGGAGTGCCCGCTCGTACATAGCCTCGGCGTCGCTGAACCGGCCTTGATCTGCATAGAGGTCGCCGAGATTGTTGACCGTGATAAGCGTCGACGTATGTTCCGGTCTTAGCACCTTCTCGGAGCCTCGGAGTGCCCGCTCGTACATGGCCTCGGCGTCGCTGAGCCGGCCCTGAGCCTTATAGAGAAGGCCGAGATTGTTGACCGTGGAATGCGTCGATGTATGTTCCGGTCCCAGCGCCTTCTCCTTGCTTTGGAGTGCCCGCTCGTACATCGCCTGTGCGTCGCTAAGCCGGCCCTGAGACGTATAAAAGTCGCCTAGGTTATGTAAAACCCACTCGTCCCCTTCCAAAATAGATACCCTGTCCATCACTACCATCTCTAAACAGCGGTCGGCGTGTTGCATCAACCGCCGTTGCACGACCCAGTAATCGCGCTCCATGTTCGTCGGCACATGCAACCCAACGCACCTCATCGCCAGCTGCGCCATTTCGATGTTCCTCACCTCGTTCAACACGTGTATCGTCCATGAGTGTACGCAGCCATGCATGCCGTACCCACGCGACTCGGTTCCCCGTTCCTTCAACGACGTATCCGCCTCGACCAGTCCGTAGTCGCACAGCACTCGAACCGCATCGGTAAAGCCGAGCATGTCCCCCGTCAGTTCCCGAAACCATTGCGGGCTGCTCGAGCGGCCACCGAGCAGCAGTTCGAACCACAGATCCTCGTTGCCGAAGTACGCCCAGAGCTGCAGTAGCCTCGCCGACGTCATGTTCTGCTGCTCTACCTGCGCGTATGAGATGTCCCATGTGGAGTACAGTGCCCGGTCTTCATACGAGAGGAGTCCTGGGGTAGTCTTCTGCAGGCGGAGCCAAGACTTTCGGTACATCTCGAGGTACTCGGCGAAACTCGTCGCTACGTTATCGAGATAGGCGCCGGCGGTCGACAGGGCAAGCGGGAGCCCGTCGAGTTTCCGGGCAAGTTGAACTGCAGCGGCATCTACAGACCACATTTAGTCCCCTTTCACATTCTATTCACGTCTTGTCCGAGGCCGTTACATACCCTTACGTAAATCGTGTCTGTTCGAGGTGTAAGCTAAAATCTCAAGGCTGTCCTCCAGGTCTTTGAGCTTCCTAAGTGGGATGCGATGGCCGACCGTAACTCTGGATGACCGCGTCGTGATGACGATAGCGCCGTGATGAGCGTCGGGAAGAAACGGCCGAATATCGTACCCTTCGGCGATATTCGCATCTCTATCACCCTCCAATCCCCCGCCCCGTCCCTCGTTTGGCCCAGAGTCTCCGCCTCCGCCCAGCCTCGGATTGTCGTAATTGTCGTAGATAACCAGCCAGCGGTCGTTCTTGTTGTTATCGAGCCACCGTTTGACAGCCTGCACCGCTTCGTTGAGGTCGCGGCTCTCTGCCGCATTCCTTACGTAGACGACCGACGGATGTTCGCGGAAGACGCGGTCGGCGACCCTCGCGAACCCCTGCCTTAGCGATGTCTCGTCTCTGGCATTTAGCCAGAACACCGCTGAGTAGTCCTCCCGGTGCCGTTTGGCGTAAGCCGCGGCTAACTGCGTCTTGCCCATTCCTCCCAGCCCATGTACCACGACGATGCGTCTGCCGCTGCCTTCGCCGAGTACCCTGTGGATCCCGGCGAGCTCTTCCTCCCTTGCGACGAAATGGTGGACCTCATTGATTTCAGGCAGGCTGAAGTGCATTCCAAATGCTGCACTTGGATGACCGAGATGCGCTATATCAAGGTGAATTCGTTAATCACAGTGGCTAGCTAAAGGCTCTCCGTTTCAGGGTCGCCTACCCTCGTCCGCCCTCCTCTCCGCCTCCCAGCGCCGCCGAACCTCTTCGGACGCAGCGCTTGCCATGATCTGGAGGTATTCGGAAATAATATTGTACCCGCTGTCCCCTCGCGACGTGTATCTGACCATGTTGGTATGGTCCGCGTGTATGACAATCGATTCGGCGTCCGCCTGGCCCGGCACTACGGCGGACGCGCGGGGTACAACCTGCTTCCTGTAAGCTACCACTATATCGCAACGCAAAGGCACATATACCATGATAGAGTGACCAAATGCCATCGGAGTCTCGTACTCTTCGGACGCAAACTTAGTCACGAAATCGCCGCTGATCGGTCCGTACTGGCCTAGCTGCTGCTGAAGCCACTCCGAGTCCCGTTCGAGGTGCCTCAGGATCCGGTCATCCGCAGCCACAAACAGGGACGCAACGTTCACCAGCAGCCTCCCAAGCTGGACGCCGTTACCGCCCTGGTGCGGCGTGCCCATGAAGACGACTCCATAGGTGGAGACCTTGATGGAACGGTGCTCCTCCAGCGCACCTCGTCGAGCGGCATCCGAATGAATGAGAGCCTACCTTTTGTGAGTATCGTGGGGGAAGATTGAGTGTGGTACCTACGCTCTTCACGACAATGCCGCCTAGGCTGTGCGCCACAAAGATGATCGGGCGTTCCATCGACTGATTCTCGTCAGCCAAGCTGCCCAAAGCCAGCAAACAGATATAGTCCTTACATCGGACAACTTCCGCTTCCTACACAGGTCGGATATGAGCGTTCGCGCATGGTCGTAGAGGTATTGGCAGCTGACTCGGGAGCTGGCATGGGTGTTGGCATCGTAGCCCCAGCAGAAGATGCGGGCGTGAGGGATGTCGTGCGGCAAGAGATCGCGGAGCCAGTGGACACCATTGCTCGCGGTCCAGGTCTTCTCGCGGTGGCCGTTGAGGCCATGGACGGCGATGATACTGCGTGAGGGAAGCGCTTAGCTGAGACTCGCAAATCAGGCAAGATACCAGCCACGAGACGCGTGGTTCACGCGAGAGCATCACGGAGAGGGGCGAGGAGAGGCGGCGACTTACTCTACTGTAGGGTTGATGCCCTCCGCGACGATCCCCAAGCCCTGGGGACAGGGTTCGGAGACTGCGGCAGGCACAGCGTTTGCTGTGCTGGCTTGCGGCGCGGATGTTTCAAGAGATGCGCTGGATTGTGGAGATGGCCGGGGTGTTGACGATACTCGGCTGCGGGGCCTGTGGAGCAGCCGCGACCAGCGCGACGAGCGCGACGACATGGCTGCGGCTTCAACTTCGAAGTACTGCAACAGTCGCCGTGGAAAAAGGTGCTTGGATGGTGACGATCACTCGACGTCGATGGTGCGGTTCAACTTTGCGAAAAGCATCTCACGGCCCGTCACGGATGACATTGGAGCCACGACTTCAGCTGAGCGACCGTTCGCCAATCAACTCGCACTTCCGCAAGCCTCGTCACGATCCGCAAGTGCTGCGTTCCAATGATCGTACATTTTCCAAGCAGCCGACTTTCGGTATACTATCACGGCACTTTCCAACCAAACCATTACTTACGAAGTTGACGCAACAGCCATGTCCTCGTCGATATTCTTGGTTTTGTGGCGGCTTGGTCTGTACAAAGTTACAAGGACGTCTACTTGGGTAGCACAACGGTGAATGTACTCCGACATGTCTGCACGTTGCTCGTGAGTTGAGCCTCACTTCCGTGGCACACGCCGCATGCTGGCTACTGCAACATAAATAGGGATGAGTTTCTCTCAAGGACCCTCCTTGAAATGGGCTGGCCGAGGAATGTGATGGGCTGAGCCCATGATGGCCTCGGCAACCCTCGGCAGTGGTATCATGATAACGTCATCCTGAGGCAGGCAGTGTCTGTGTGTTCCGGAGCATATAAGAGCTGCCCTCTCTTCCTGTCATCTAGTTCTCTCTTTTCTTTTCGCTCTCCATTCGGAGCAATCTAGTCAATCATTGCCCCGCCTTGTGCATCATCTCAACGCCAACGCGTGGCCCGTAACAAGGGTTACCGAAGCCCATGTCGGGCTCAGCCCGTTACACCAGCTCCCAGCCCAACGCCTTTGTCCTAGGTTCCCTCAGCGAGACCGATACGAGGTCCACCCACACTCCTTCCCAGAAGCCCTGACCATATGTAGGATCAGTCGGTCGCAGGTCGAGGAACTCGGTCAGTCTTAGGGCGATTCTCACCATTGATTGGCGAGGATGCGTCGCCAACTGCATGATGAATGCCGGCGAGGTGATCGTCAGGCAGGACAGTTGCCAGTCCGCCTGAACAGCCCCTTGAGTGGGTGTTCCGGGAGAATCCGTGAGTGGTGCGTTCTGGAGTGGCGCATCAGTTGAACGCGATTTAGACCCCCTACCGACCCGCTTGACTCGTAAACGGGGCATCCCAGCAAACTGCGGTCTGCCTTGCTACTGCTCCATAGCCGCGCTGATGCAGGACTGCGCCGGTGTTAGGTCGGTTCCCACGCTCATCGCCAGCGTGCGACGTGGACTGGCAATCCGCCTTCGGGCGATATCGGCGCCGCAACTGGTCGTGAACCTTGAGACCGGCGCGTGTACTCGTGCCAGCCCTGCTCCTGCCTCGCGTGGCTCTGTTGCGGTGGTCGAGCTTCCCCTCCACCATGAGCAGCAGGATAGGCTGGGTCAGGCCGTACGGGTGACGGGCACGTCCAATTCAATGTTGATCAGCTTGGTCAGGTTGACGACCGTTGGGGTCGATACTCGCAGCACGAGCACGCTAGGCGACTGAGTCCGTTCTCGCTCCTTGTGCAGTAGCCCCACCGTTGGCGTTCAGCATACCACGGAAAGGCTCGCTCCTGGGCCGACGAGGCTGGCAGGTCGCCCGCTGGTACAGCCGTCGAGTGGGGCTGTACACATAACACGAAAGCGGCCATTAGCCAAGACGTGCAGAGGGGGGTCACAAACGCGTTCGGTTGGCTAAAAGCAGGCTCTGCAACGCGTTGGTGAACTTGTGGCCACAAAAAGGCGACACTAGATTCACACCATAGCCTAAGTTGGAAAACGGAACTGAAAACTGAGTGTTGAAAACTGAGCGCGAACGCGTTCCCTACCGTTTCAATGGTCAGTAAACGTTGCAGCACGTGACCTACACGCTGCTGAGTCAGCAACTCGACCCAAAACGAAAGTGAAATACCTCTTCCAGATTCACGTTCTCGGCCTCCCCACAATAGCGACATCTTCTTGTCTTCGTTGTTGTTCAAAGGGGGCGGTTTCTTGTCCTCAGAGCGACCAGTTCTGGACCCTTTTGAGCAGACAGGGAAGATTTATGGGCAAGAAATGTGGGCCTGCTGTCTCCCTACGTCATAGATCAGCTGTTGAGCTTCTGAACCAGGCAGGCAGCAACCGGAGCCAGAATACCTTGTACCTATGCGTATCGCCGGGTCGCTTTGCTTTCCTCACCTGAGTCAAGAATCCGAAGTGCACTTCATCTGCATTGACATCCCCATTGGCACCTAGAGTCACATATCAACGGTCAACCATGCCTGCCGAGCAGATTCCCGTTTCCAACCCAGCGCCTCTCCCTTCTCACCTCCCGGACAGTGTGCTGCAGCTCTCAGTGCGACGCCGGCCGAAACCCCTCGCAGACGATGTCCGGCGGTCCCTCAGCAGTTTCCAGCGGGCAGCAGAATATATCGCTGCAGGTATGTCGCCATGATATATAAAAACTGCAGTTGCTGACAGGAGCAGCCATGATCTTCCTCCGCGGCAACGTCCTGCTGGAATCTGAATTGCAGGTTGACCACATCAAGCCACGACTCCTCGGTATGCTAGGGTTTCGACACCCTCAGAAACTGCACGGCAATACGCTGACCTGAAACAGGCCACTGGGGCACATGTCCCGGTCTCATCTTGGTCTGGTCGCACCTCAACCTGCTCATCCGCAACCACGACCTCGACATGATATACGTCGTCGGTCCTGGCCACGGCGCGCCAGCTGCCTTGGCTGCGCTGTGGCTTGAGGGTTCGCTTGAGCGGTTCTACCCAGGCGAGTACGACCGCAATGCCGAGGGCCTAAAGAACCTGATTACGCGATTCTCCGTGCCAGGCGGATTTCCGAGGTGAGTAGCCCTGTCCTGAAGAGCGATACATACAGGACTCTAGTACTAAATCTCTTACAGCCACATCAATGCTGAGACCCCTGGCTCAATCCACGAAGGTGGAGAACTTGGATATGCACTTGCCGTGTCGTTCGGCGCCGTCATGGACAACCCAGATCTCATTGTGACTTGCATCGTCGGAGATGGCGAGGCCGAAACGGGCCCGACAGCAACGTAAGTGACAGTATCCTCGTCGTCCTACTCAGCAACTCAGAATGTCCAGGGCATGGCATGCCATCAAGTACCTTGACCCCCGAGAATCCGGCGCTGTTATCCCCATCCTGCACGCCAACGGCTTCAAGATCAGCGAGCGGACCATCTTCGGTTGCATGGACGACAAGGAGCTGGTGTGCCTGTTCAGCGGTTACGGGTACCAGGTGTGCATTGTGGAGCATCTGGACAACATCGATGACGAAATGCAGGATGCGTTGGAATGGGCAGTAGCCGAGATCAAGAAGATCCAGCAGGCCGCACGGTCTGGGAAGCCGATTGATAAGCCACGGTGGCCCATGTTGGTGTTGCGAACGCCCAAGGCAAGAATAATTTCGCCTTGATTGAGATTGTACCAAAACTGACCATCGCAGGGCTGGACTGGGCCTAAGGAAGTGGAAGGAAAACTCATCGAGGGATCGTTTCACTCTCATCAAGTTCCCCTACCCAAGGCAAACAGCGACGAGACGCAGCTCAGGGCGCTCAACGACTGGTTGTCAAGCTACAAAATCAGCGAGCTTCTTATAGACGGGAAGCCCACAGAAACAGTCCTCAACATCCTCCCCAGCAAAGACGAGAAGAAGTTGGGCCAGATCAAGGCGACATACGACCCTTACATCAGCCTCAAGGCAGTCGACTGGACCGAGTTCGGCGTCGAAAAAGGCACCGAGCAGAGCTGCATGAAGGTGACCGGCAAATTCCTCGACAGGGCTTTCCAGGAGAACCCCAAAACAATCCGCCTGTTCTCGCCCGACGAGCTCGAGAGCAACAAGCTCGACGCCGTCCTGGACCATACTCAGCGCAACTTCCAGTGGGACGAGTACTCGCGGGCCAACGGCGGGCGGGTGATCGAAGTGCTGTCGGAGCACAACTGCCAGGGCTTCATGCAGGGATACACGCTGACCGGGCGGACGGCCATCTTCCCCAGCTACGAGTCTTTCCTGGGCATCGTGCACACCATGATGGTGCAGTACTCCAAGTTTGTCAAGATCGCACGCGAGGTCACCTGGCGCGGTGACCTGCCGTCCATTAACTACATCGAGACGAGCACGTGGGCGCGCCAGGAGCATAACGGGTTCTCGCACCAGAACCCGTCATTCATTGGTGCCGTGCTGAATCTCAAGCCTGAAGCGGCCAGAGTAACCTCGCCCCTTCCCCAAACCCTCACGTTCCCAATGACAACGCATGCTTACCTGTCTTGTTAGGTCTACCTCCCTCCCGACGCGAACTGCTTCCTCTCCACCGTCCACCACTGCCTTAAGTCGCGCAACAAAACCAACCTCATCATCGGCTCCAAGCAGCCCACACCTGTCTACCTCTCCCCATCCGAAGCAGCCGACCACTGCCGCCAGGGCGCCTCCATCTGGTCTTTCGCCTCCTCCCCGCTGTCCCAAGGCCAAGAGCCAGATGTCGTCCTGGTCGGCATAGGCGTGGAAGTAACCTTCGAGACCGTCGCCGCCGCCTCTCTACTCCGCACCCTCTCCCCCGCACTCAAGGTACGCGTCGTCAACGTCACAGACCTGATGATCCTCGCACCCGAAAGCAAGCACCCGCACGCGTTGAGCAAGGAGAGATTTGTCGAGTTGTTTACCCGCGACCGGCCAGTGCTGTTCAACTACCATGGGTATGCGACTGAGCTACAGGGGCTGTTGTTCGGGCATGGGGCGACGGCCAGGATGCAGGTGAATGGATACCGCGAAGAAGGGAGCACGACGACGCCGTTCGATATGATGCTTGTGAACGGGGTGAGCAGGTTTGATCTGGCCGAGGCGGCGCTGAGGGCTGCGGCGGAGAGGAATGAGGAGGTCAAGAAGGGGTTGGAGGGCTTGGTTGCGGAGGTGAAGAAGAGGGTGGAGACGGTGAGAAAGTATATTACTGAGCACGGCAAAGGTGAGTCTGGGTCACAGTCCCTGCTTGAAGTCTCATGGTATGCTAACTGGTGAATTAGATCCGGACAACATGTACGATCTGCCCAAGTTTGAGTGATCGGGGTTCGCTCAGGGCTGATCGGTCGTCTATTCGCTCAGGAAGGGCAGTAGAGTAAAGTAGTGGCCGAGTGGCTTTTGGTTTACATATACAGGGTCGACGTTGCTGGAATGGTTGGCGTGATTGGAGTTGAGGAGTTCTCTTCAACCTAGGTAGTCTCATGTACAGAGAGCTTGGCGAGAATGAGTCCTAAATTACCTACAGTGACTACAACGCCGTGGCGCAGACCTGCGCATTACTAACAGACCCCCGTACACAACACATGGTGGAGTGAGTGAATTGAGGTTGGGCAGCGCAGCCTATATTGATGACCATAAGGCGCCATGCACCTCTGGAAAATGGGGTTGGGTCTCCGTTTGAGATTGTGAGATAACCTCTCCGCGGAAATTAATTAACGTTGAGTGAGTAACTAACTATTTTTACTTTAGAAAATATCTGCCCTTAAGCTCTTTGACATCAATCCTACTCACTCCTATGGGATCTATTCACTTAACGAGCATTTTCCTTCTTGACGATCATTTTCAGTGTAGATCCATTTTTACATTAGATTATTCGTTAAGGAGTAACTAACGATGTGTTATCGGCGAGTGCACCATATCAGCGAGTGCACCACTGGTAAGGGCTGCATGAACACTTAGTCGAAGTACTGTACTAACAGCTTACTCCCCCACTTATTCCCGTTGTTAGCTGCACCCAGAAATCTGTGCAGCCCTTACTAGTGGTGCACTCGCTGAGAATACATCGTTATTCGATAACTCGGTTGTTTTTTCGGAGATAAAGATTTTCTATCCCTTAGAGGAGGATATTCGTTGCGAAACTACATTCGTAAAAATTGAATTACCTGAGCATTTTGATGGTCAAATATTTTAGCACGAGGGAGTATCTTCAAGCAATGAATGGAACTCGCGTTCATTTTCGTGGATGCCGGTGGCGCCCAATGGTACGTGGTTCGGATTGTGCCCGCCTCCTTGCTGATCCTAGTAGCCCCCTACCGTATGAAGTGCGCAGAGGCTGGAGCTGATGGTGTTCGCTGCAGGATGTGCCGTCAATTTCCCTAGCATCCAAACGGGTTGGAACGATTGAGGGCAACCTGTAACGCCGCAAACTGAAAGTCAATTTGATGAAGCTGGACATGAAATTTTACCACTAACAGTTACTCTTGAGTCTTGCCCCGCGTATACGGATTATTCCGCAAACTCCCTCCTCAAATGAGCCATTTGCTTGGTGCCTTCATTGGTCATGTGCATCGCTGGCTCCGGCCTAACGCGAATCAAAATACCCAATCCATGGTAGCAAACCGGCAATTGCATACAGCACAGTGTCCAGTTCCATTTCTGGGTCAATACCCTCAGGCTTACGTTGCAACATGAGACAATAGGGTAGTACCCAACCATCATCCATGGTAAGGCCAGCTGCCTTTGATTACACATATGAGCCGAGCTTGCATCGCTCACCGCCCTACCTAGCTGGTTGCGGCTTGTACTCCGTGAGCCGCTAACGCTCCCGGTCCCGCCCCACAATGGTCAACGGAACCCAAAACCGGAGGCAACCGCGACCCCGGGTCCACCACCAGAGGACCTGGGCTGCAAAATGTTTCATGGCAAGAACATTGGATGGAGGCGACAAGATTCAAGCAAACCGCAGGCCGATACATATGGTGTACACGTACATGCGCTTCGCGATCCACGCAGGTTCGTGCCGTCTTCCAGATGTCGCATCGCGCTGCGGTTGCTCCGTTGATCCTCGCTGGGGTGCACGACCAGGGGCTGCAATGTTAGCGCCACTTCAACGGTCGTTCGTGTGACACCTGTCCCCATTTACCAGGCTTACCTCCCTCCGCATGAAGTGTGGATTCACTGGATTGCTGCGCAACTATGTACCAAACACCCAAACTGTACTGTACGTCCCCGAGCCTCAAGCTCTGGCACGTGGGGTTACCGCATGTCGGTGGGATCAAAATGCTCACCGGATATAGAACAAAATAAACGATGCAGAAACGGGCCTTGGAAAGCAAATCGGCGTAGCGAAACTCCTCGGGAAGTTACTCAACAATAACCAGATTCTTGCGGTGGCTTTGACATGTTTTGACGCCGTCGGCAGCACCCAACCTTCGCCTCGGTAAAGACTGTCTCAGCCATGCACAATTTGCAGCTGAGTGAGACATGATGAAAAGCTTCCAGTGGACGCAGCAGGCATAGCAAACAGGAGGGATACGGCCAAGACGGCAGCGGGTCACGCAGTGAGGAATCGATCTACGACCAGCTTCCAGGGAGCACATGCTGGCCAATCTGCACGACTACCGGTCTGGCCACCCCAACAGGCGAGACACGGAGACAGGGTGCGGCCGCCCGCGGAGGCACCCGCGACGGCCCCGGACTGGCCGGATCGCCCGGTCCGGTGGAGCGTCCTGCCCCTGACCCCTGCTCTGGCGAGCATTGGGGTGTCCCACGGAATGACACCTTGAAATCCGCTAAATCCAGCGTCAGGGAGCAAGCCTCGTTCTTGGCAGACACCCTCAAGGCGTCGATGGTGTCCCAGCGTCGTGCAATTGGGAGGGTCCAGCGCCATATCGCTCGAGTTACCTGCAGGCGCTCTTCGTAACGGCCTTTAGATCAATTGCCTGACCGCGGACTTTCGGCTCGGGTTGGAGACTGGCCATTGACAAGCCTCGGTCACATCCCATCTTACAAGGTCAGGGACTGCTTGCGTCCCCACTGTGTCCCTGGCTCAATGCAGGGCTCTGGACGTGGGAGCACCACCTGCAGCCAGACCGTCCCGGAAGAGGACAAGGGGCTCTGCCTGGGGGGTTTGTGACACGATGGCGGCCCGAGAATTCGCATCGCTGGGTCAGCCAATTCTCGGAGTACAAATACATACTTCGTAGACAAGTGGCAACCAGGGCGACCTTATTCTTCATTGCAGCCACGCATATGCGGAGGATTCCCCCAGGAAACCCAGTAGGGTCTCGACACATGTCTGGGAAACCGGTGTGCATGCGTGTCATCGGTCGCAGTACCAAGTTGTCTGACTGCTTGAGGGACCAGGGAGCGATGTCCAGAGACAAAAAACGCCGATGGTTGCCAAAAACGGGCGCGGACCGACGAATCTGCTATTGTTCCCGCCGGGTTTAAGACGACACGACCGGGCCACTTCCAGGCCCTTCAGGCCGTCTTTGTTTCAACAGCCAGCATTGGTCAGCTACCAGATTCCACCCAAGTAACCTGCAATAAAAAACACTATTAAACAACACCCTTACGCTCGGCATTTCCTGAACAAGACATCGACCGCATTCTTGCCCCCCCCCGTCGAGCAGCAACCAACACTGCGTCTCGACCGCTGCATGAGTTGCTAGAACGGCCCACGCACCGGGCACCGCCAACGCACAATTGAGACCGATCTTGCTCATTAAGGGGGCACCGGGCCTTTTTACTCCTCGCTACGGCCTAGATCCCATGCCGTTCTTAGAGTATCCTTGACACTGAACCCACACTAAAATCATAAACCACGCTGCAATAGGCCGAGATTCGCTCGAGACACGCAAATACCAACCTTTGCCCCAGAGGTCTTGCAAATTGAACACCAGGCCATTCGCCAGCACTCGCCCTCATGAGCGACGACTCCACCATGGTCAGCACTCCTGACGAACTCGAGAGCACCCACTTCGCCGAAGTCATCTTTCCTGCTGGCAACCCGGACTTCCGCGCCGCAAGGAATCGGTGTGCACGCGCATGTCGCGAGTTCAACAGCACCCCGGACGACGCGGACCCAGAGGAGCGGTGTCAGAAATGGCTTGAGTAGGTTGGGTCCGGAGATCTCATGCTTTATCGCCTCCCGATTCTCTGGCACGGACTGGCCTCCCGGACTAACCTTCTTTCTCAGCATCGTCCGCCCAAACCGTGACCGCAACGAAGATGGTTCGTTAGCAGTCACGCACGACCAGACCTTCGCCAACCCGTCCCTGACGGCCAAGACGCCCTTCGTCAAGCCGCCCGTCTACATCGACTACGGCATCCGGCTTTACGTCGGCGGCTCCACCTTCATCAACCGCAACTGCATGATCATGGACACGCCCGTGGCCGACGTGGTTATCGGCGAGGGCTGCAGCATTGGGCCAAACTGCACCATCATTGGCGTAACCCGTAAGTTCGCTCTCCCTTCCGCGCGTTGTTCCGACATATCGGGTGCCGTTCCCGCCAGCCAGTCCAACTCGCAGGCTGCGCCGCTTCTGTACCACCACACAGATACTGCAGCCTCGAACGGGGGCTGCAGGACCTGGCCGGGAGAAAAGGGGTGACACGGCTAAACGGTAAAACTACCTTAGATCCCGTGCGCCTGGACGAGCGCCGCCAGAAGCACAGCATCGGCCAGCCAGTCACAATCGGCAACGACGTCTGGATTGGCGCCAACGTCACCATCCTGTAAGTCTCGGGCTTGTCCTTGGGTAACCTCACCTTACCCAACGGATGCTGTGAATCCGCCCCGTCCCGCAGCCCCTCCAAACGGAACCCTCCCACCTTTCCCGCTTCTCTCCTGCACGTCATACCCCTTTTCATCCCCGTGCAGCCGCCCCACCAAAGGCTGTCCACCCTCACCCCCCTTGCCCAGCCGAGCCGCGTCCCCCCACACTTCTCCCCCACTACATCCTAGAGATACTGTCTTCTCTTACTGGTACCATTGATACAACGCCATACCATACCAGAGCAGATTCTCAAGGAGATGAAGGCTAACCTCTTCGTTCCCATTACGAAAAATTACAGCGGCGGCGTAACAATCGGCTCCGGCGCCGTCATCGGTGCCTGCTCCCTCGTGAAACGCGACATCCCGCCCATGAGCGTGGCATACGGCACCCCTGCGCGCGTCGTCGCCCTGCTGAAAGACATCAAGCCCACCCCGCCGGGCTCGGCGGTCGCTGCCGAGACGATGGAGGACGCGGTCGGGCTGGGGAATCGCTTGCCTTTGGTGCAGGTCTCTAACCCTACTACCACCACCACCACCACCAAATCTAAGGTTGGGTTTCGGCATGGGCATGGGCATGGTGGATTGGGCTTTGGCTTAGGGCGTGGGCTTGAAGCAGGGGAGGAGGAACTTGAAGAGGAAGGGTTTAGGGACGGGGTGGTTGATAGGGAGGAGGAGGAGGCGGATACGCTAGATTTGGTTTTGCCGTCGTTGAGGAGTCCGCTTATAGGGTCGGTAAGGTCGGGGTCGAGCTCGACCGCTACTGGTGGTAGGGGCAATAGCGCAGCGAGGAGGATGGCGTTGGCGGATCGGTTGCGGTTGGGAGAGGCGAGGGAGGTTAGGAGTCTGTTGCTCGAGGGGAGGAGGGAGCAGCGGAGGATAAGGAGGTTTAAGGTGGAGGCTGTTGCTATTATAACAGTGTTAGTTACGCTGCTAATGGCCGTTTTCTTTGCCGGATTATACTTAGGGGCGAGCAGGCTGCTAATTCTAGGGAGTGATTAATTTACATGCTTTGGCCGGTGCGGATATGGACGTGGGCTATTGTCACAAATGAACCAACGAGAGTCAACAACGGCGGCTTACTTGCAGAAGCCAGTGGGGAACGTAGGACGTTCCGAGCCAATCACTTAGGACCAATCGGAACGAGTACTAGAGGTGCTCCAGAGAGCTCTCAGGAGCATGAGAGAGCACCA